TGCTGTTGTCATTGATTGTGGTTCATGTGTTTGTGTATGTAGATAGAAGCTGTTCTGGTTGGAAGCTGTTATTATTATAATAATTTCAGATATGTTATTTTTAATCTCCATTCACACTGCCAGCAATTTTAATGCAGAATATTACTAGTTACTCTAGTGGTTGGCCACTAGTAATTCAATTCAGGTTTATTTGCACAGTGCTTTTCACGATACAAATCATTCCAAAGCAACTTTACAGCAAATTAAGTTTCTACAATATTTAGTGGTAGCTTATCAGTGGTGACTGTCAGTTAATGTACATATGGCGGAAATGTACGGAAAAATCAATTAAAGACGTAATCAAACAGACGATGAACACTATTAACAGCAATTATTATATGATGTGAATGTGAGCAAAAAACACATAAAAACCTGTAACAATTTGCATCCTAAAAGTCATGTTTTATTTTTTATTTTATTTTTTTATAATTGTAATATCTTTTTCTGCCTCTGAAGCAACTTTTCTGATAATGTAATCAAGGAGAAATGGCATTAACCAATAATTTTACTGCCTAATAGGATCCGCAATTCAATCAAATCATGTCTGGCTCTATAATTAGGCCTAAATTTAAGATTTATATATTTGAATTGCATTTAAAATGTGTTGGATCGCAAAGTTTTAACATTAACTAATGAACTTAATGTGCCGTATATTTGTCAGCCATATAAAAATGAAATGGGAATAAATAAAGTATGGCATAGATTATTATTCTCTTTACCTATATTTGATTTTGAAATCATAGTCAAATGATTTTGACATTTTCAAAATGCATTCATTCAGATTGCTTTGAATCAACACAAATTTGTTAATTGTCAAAACAATTTAATTTATTCAGTTAAAAAGTGTATATATATATATATACATACATACATACATATAAACCTGGCTATTGTGTATTTATTTTAAATACATTCCGTTTTTTTAGTACGATTTTTTTTTTCCAAAACAATTTGGCCTAAATTTACTATTTTAACAAGGAACTAACAAACTATGCAGTGCATATTTGTCTGTCATAAAGGAATTAAACATGAACAAAAGACAAAGAGAAAATCACTCACTGCTCTTACCTAAATAACTTTTGTAGCTTAAATAAGAATCAGTGCATATTGAATTCATAGAGTAAATATTAAGCAGTGTTGTATTTTTCCTTTTTATTATTCAGTTACTAAACTCATTTTAAAATGACCTTTTTATGTAATGCTAGAGTAAAACACTACCGTTCACTTTCAGAAGTTGTTGTAGGGGTGCTTTCTTCTCACAAAAAGTGAAACATGTATGCTAGTTATATTAGAATCAGAATCAGAATGAGCTTTATTCACCACTTAAGTGTGCGCAAACACAAGAAATTTGTTATGGTCTTACAGGAACTCTTGATACATACATACATACATACATGCATACATACATGCATACAAATAATATATATATGACACAAGATAGTTATAGAAGTTCACAGAACTGACTCGGCAACAGCTGAGTAAAACTGTTTCATCTGAGCATGTGGCACTTTAAGAATTATCATATCGCATATCGCATTTTTCTTCAGTATCGCACAGCCCTAATATATATATATATAAAGAAACTTGAGAAAGGACAAAAAAAAAATGTTTTACACCTAAATGCATTGGATCAGGTTAAACATTGTGCGTTTTCTTTAGGTTCATTTAGAAGTTTATCTGTTTCAGAATTCTCCTGGTTTGTTTCTCAGTGTGTTCTAGAATCTCCATGTGTGTGTAAACAGCAGTTGTAGCGGTGAAGCGGTGCAGGATGTGCATTAGCTCCATTAGCAGGGAGCGTGTCGTAGCGCCCGAGGCTGTGACTGTCCTGTCAGAGACGTTTGCTCATTTAGACTTGACATGATGATATCCAGAGGAATGAAATTCTGCATGAAATGAGAAATGTTCATTGTCACGGGCACCATTATGTGAGCAGCTAATGGAAAAGCCCTAATGAGAGCTCAATTCATCTTATTTCTGGCTAAACAGATTTTTCCCCAAATGTGGTTATGTATAGGCTATTTTTCTGCCAGTTTAAACAAGGCTGCTCATTATATTAAAGACTTTGTCAACAACTATTTAGAGATTTATTTTATTATTTCCAACATAATGTTTGAAATATTTTCTGATTTCCAACCTAATGAAATTTGCAGCTCATTCCTACTCGTGCATTTGTATAAATGAACTGAAAAGACATTTGTCCTGTAGCAATGCTCTTATAATGCACATCATACAGGAGGGTTTATAAGCTGAAATGTGAAGCTAAAGTTTTATAAAGCATTTATGTCTTCAGTAATAATATCTACTGGTGGTGATTGAGGAGAGACCCCCTCCCCCCTTTTGCACTGTAAATATTTCATAAATTGTTTGCACCATGTACAAGGATTTATGGATGCTTACTTTTGCTTACCTGTCAGATTTATTTTAGTTTTTTGGTTATACTGTTATAGTTTTTGGTAATATTTTGAATAACATTTTTTGATATTTTCAGTTTTTAGTCATTTTGTTAGTGTTTTTTGTCATTTTATGAAGTTTTTTTAATGTCTATTTAGTTTATATTATTTTCATTTGTTGATTTTAGAATGAGAAATGTTGTATTTCAGTTAATGTTTTTATTTCAGGTAACTAAATTTAAATAAACAATTTTTTTTAATTATTGTTTTAGTTTTAGTTACTGCATTAACCCTGGTACCTGTATGAGGATGATAGTATAAACAGGCTCCATCAGTCAGACAGATGACTTTCTCTTCTGGGAAAATGGAGCAAAAATAGTGATGACTCATCCTGCACTATACAGATTTTTGTCCAATCAAATGCTCTCTAGAATGAGAATGTCACGCCCCCAAAATGATGACTAACAAATGGTTCATGGCTGTAATGTAAATAAAAACTATTGGCTATTTATGAAAGAGGGTTGAGCTATTTTGATGCTCCTTAACTTCCTGTTTCAATAGGAAATGTGCCAACACAGAAAATAAATCTGTGCTTGTCAAAGGATTTCATTAGATCTGCATGACACACATATGGAAAAAAAATTTGCAATATTGTTTAAACTCTCAAATGTAATATCATTTAACAATATAATAAAGTATAGTATTTTGTGTGTGGTTAGTGTTGTCAGAGCGAAGGATGCAAAGCTTAAATGAAGTGTGTCATTGACAGATGATCATGCTGGAGTCAGTAGAGATCTCCAATCCCGACTCGACTCATTAAAGCTGTCCGTCTGAATCTACTGACACGATGAAAGTTCTCACGCTTCTAATCCTGATCATCTCATGTGGTGGATCTCGCTCTTTCTGTTTCCTCAGCTCAAGTGTGTGTTTGCTCTGTGTGTGTGTGTGTGTGTATTGAGTCAGACTGTCTGAACAGCTGATATCTCTCACACACACACACACACACACCTTTTGTTTACATTCTCTGAAGTGTCTGATGTGGAATATATCACTAAAACTAACATGTTCAAGTGAAAGAAAAAGTAACATGGAAGCATGAGAATTTGAATATGTAACATGAATATTTTATATATATAAATCAAACAAAACTTGAGAAAGGACAGGAAGAAAAGAGAGAGAGAAATAGATTTTAGTCTTTTTTTTTATTGCTAAAATTATTTCTTATTTAAAATATAAACACACACTACCAAATGTTTGGGGTCTCATTTTGTTAATTTTGTTGAAAGAAGTTTCTTCTGCTCACCAAGGCTGCAAATATTTATCAAAATTACAACAGTGATATTGCCCCGTTTTCTCTTCTTCCGCCATGATGATTCCGTTTTCATTAACTTTTGACTGAGCTCTCGTAATTACGCAGTGATTAACTTCTTACCGTCTCTTCCGCGATTATTAGTTTATATGAACTCCGCCCACTTCCGATCTGATACGGCTACTCCGTCCCACTTCCGGCCTCAGACTGTTAGTCTGGCGCTGTTGTCCTCAGACTGTCATGACGTATGGTTCTGCGGTTCTGCAGTTGGTTGTTATTGTCTCAGTCAGGGGTCGATGTGACTGATCTGCACTGACTGCAGCATGAGCTCCAGATCATCAGAGCTCACTGTCGTGCCTGTCATCAAGCAGCATGTTTATCTGCTGATCCTGAACACTAGTGAAGTTTGTCTTGTTGTTTTTTTTTTGATAAGTTGATTGCTTCAGAGGGATTTTCATTTAAAAAAAATCTAATATTGTTAGATTTTAAAATGCTTAACATAACATTAATGTACATTTGGATGTCATGAAATAATTGTCATAAAAATCATTGTGACTAATCATAAAAATATATTATAACATTTGTATTCTCCATTTGAAATGGCAATTCACATTATTTTTCACATTACTAACAACTTCCTTTTTCTTTTTGCCCTGCCCACAGCTCCCCTCCCTCCCGCCACTGGGCTTGTTTTTTTTTGATAAAAAGTTGATTGCTTCAGAGGGATTTTCATTAAAAAAAAAATCAAATATTGTTAGATTTTAAAATGCTTAACATAACATTAATGTACATTTGGATGTCATGAAATAATTGTCATAAAAATCATTGTGACTAATCATAAAAATATATTATAAAATTTGTATTCTCCATTTGAAATGGCAATTCACATTATTTTTCACATTACTAACAACTTCCTTTTTCTTTTTGCCCTGCCCACAGCTCCCCTCCCTCCCGCCACTGGGCTGGTTGCCATGGAGAGCTCATCGGTAGCGAGTGAAGTTTGTCTTGTTGTTTTTTTTTTGATAAGTTGATTGCTTCAGAGGGATTTTCATTTAAAAAAAATCTAATATTGTTAGATTTTAAAATGCTTAACATAACATTAATGTACATTTGGATGTCATGAAATAATTGTCATAAAAATCATTGTGACTAATCATAAAAATATATTATAACATTTGTATTCTCCATTTGAAATGGCAATTCACATTATTTTTCACATTACTAACAACTTCCTTTTTCTTTTTGCCCTGCCCACAGCTCCCCTCCCTCCCGCCACTGGGCTGGTTGCCATGGAGAGCTCATCGGTAGCGTCAGCGTCATCAGAGGCGGGAAGCACGCGCTCGCAGGAGATCGAGGAACTGGAGCGCTTCATCGACAGCTACGTGCTGGAGTACCAGGTGCAGGGACTCCTGAGCGACAAAAACGAAACCGAACAGGATGTGGACAAGACCCTGTCCCACACCTCACAGGTAAATCACACCCTGTCCCACACCTCACAGTTCAAACACACCCTGTCCCACACCTCACAGTTCAAACACACCCTGTCCCGAACCTCACAAGTAAAACACACCTTGACCCACACCTCACACCCCGTCCCAGTCCTCGCAGGTATAACCAGAGCTGGGAGTAACTGATTACATGTAATCTGGATTACGTAATCAGATTCCAAAAATTAAGTACTTGTAATTAGATTAAATTACATTTTAAAATACTTGTAATCAGACTACAGTTACTTTTTTTATGGATTACATGATTACATATTCACACAATAGCAATAAATTATTCCTAATTTATTGATTCTCCCTAAAATATCCTACCGCATTCAGAAAGTCTGTTAGTTTTGTGGACATTCACACAGAGATCAGTCACTAGTCAGGTGGTCACACGGCACTTGAGCACTTTATTTACAAAAATTAGTTCAGGTTTAAGATGCGTTTCAACATTGCATCAACTACTGATGAACACATTAATTAAAGGTTATTTAATCGTGTATTACTATGTCTTTGTAAGGCTTTTGTCTTTCAAACACATTAAAATGCACAAATTCACGCTATTTGTTATTTACATATAATGCAGGGATTCCCAAACTTTTTTGTCATCTGAACCTCTTTCACCTAATATATTTACTAGAAGTACTCCTGAGATTTTAAAATAAATATTTAATATCACATATCACATTCTCTGATGTTGGTTAATGGTCACATGACATGCAGATAAACAAATAAAATATTTCATTTTGTTAGGAAGTGTTTCATTTTAAAATGATTTATTTATTTTTACATTTTTATGATTTAATGAATTAATAGCTTTTCATTAAACTCAGTTCCTTTATGAAACCTTGATGTAATGTTATTTAATGTTTAATGCACCTCATGTTGTTAATTACAATGAATGAAATATATTTTCTTACTCGTTGTATTTTTACATCAATATGGTACAAGATTATCCTGTTTAAATCAATGTGATAAACACGTTAGGTCAAAAGTAATCTGATTATATTACCTAAAATGTGTAATGTAATGGATTATTTTGGAATTTGGAATCAGTAACGGATTACAATCTGTAAGTAATCTACCCAGCTCTGGGTAAAACACACCCCGTCCCGCACCTCAAAAGCTGTGTTAAAGATGATGCACTATAATTCTGTTTTATTAAGTAATAATCAAAACAAATAAATCAAATTTGACACTAATGGTGTCTCTCTCTGTCTCTCAGTGGACAAAAGACTGCAGTGATAAGATTGACGGGAGCTGGTCATCCTCACGGGGCAGGGGCTCGTCCAAACCAGTGAGTTTTACATGTGTGTCTGATCCGTAACTCTTGTGTTCACTCCTGTTCACACCCGACACAAGCGGCTCGTCAAAAGTCATCTGTCTTATTATAACTGATGAAGCTGTGAAAGCATCTGTTGCAGTCGCCTCTGGTGCAGAGACAGTGTTAGTTTTGAAGATTCAGAAACAGTGTTCAGAAACAGATGCGTTTGTCATCAGAAAACTTTATAGATGAGTATATTAATGGCTGGACACAGAAACATCAAACTAGCGCTGGGTCCCAGTTCACATACTGTCTGTCCTGAATAGTGTGCGAGATTGGGGTTAGAGCGTCCCAAATCATAGATGTAAATAGTACATCACAAGTGCCTGGATGGCGTGCTGTTTGTCAAAGTGGAGTTAGATGTTAATGTTAAAATGAAAACACAAGTGCACTGTGCTAGTTTGATTGCCTGTGCCATGTCATTCAGAAATGTGTCGGACTGCAATTTGTAACGCTGTGCAAGTGCATAAGGGGCACTATTGAGTAAAACATTTTGAAAAAATTGTTTCATTTGAAATGTTTTATTTATTATTTCGGTAATTTTGTATTTCAATTTTCAATTGCATTTCCCTTTCCAAAAGCTTTGTGGGCAAACGTTTGCAAGCGAGTTTCTCGAGAGCACAAAAATTTGGTGGGTATATGCAAAAGCAAATAAATTATAATTTTCTTCCCATGCCATATTTTTTCTCATTAGACTCTTTCTGGACAGTTTTCTTTTTTATGGCGAGTACTGTCGATAGTTTGATGAGAGTTTTGTTCAGCAAGAGCTGATCTGCTGCAATTCTTTCATTTTTTTGTTACCGATTTCTGTGCACTTATGCACATTTTTTATACAGTGCTTTATTAGTGCTGTCAAAATTAACGCGTTAACGCAGGCGATTCATTTTTTCAGTTTAACGCATTAAAAATATTTAACGCTGTTAACGCAGGGGCGGGGCTACGGTTGGCAACCCCACTCACAACTGCTGTTTCGGTCTCTTTTTTCGTGACGAGAACCATAGATTATTTAAACGCAGAAAGTCTTTATGACCACATCAAACCGGAGATGTTTCAGACATGCGCTCCAACTTTACTTCAGCGCCAGGCGCGAGTCACATGAGCGCGGAGAACCGTACTGTGCTTGTAGCACGTGCTCTTCAATTGCATGCACAAAGGCGCCGGCGCGCGCTGTAGTATCATTTCATATCAAATCGCGAAAGACACTACGAGCATGCAATGTCGCAGTTATGTCATGAAGTTACCAAAAAGTCAATTAAAGCTGCCTTAAAACTGTGCATGTATGTATTTGTTATATGAGTCACATTTAAGAACATCTGAAATGCAGTGGTTTTCCAAACTGTCCTGGAGCAGCCATGCACTGTCTCCCTCACCTAACACACTAGATTCAACTCATTAGAGACTTTAAGAACTGAAGTGGGTCAGAATAGGTAGAGATGTTCAACATCGGCAGCTCTTAAAGGGACAGCAGACAAAATACCTAATAACCAGCTGCTGTGATATCTGTTAAAGGGTTAGTTCACCCAAAAAGGAAAATTAGCCCACAAATTACTCACCCTCAAGTCGTCCTAGGTGTATATGACTGTCCTGCAGAGTTTAGCTCCAACCCTGAAAAAAAAATACCTACCTGTATCCTGAAGACCTTGATTAGTTTGTTCAGGTGTGTTTAATTAGGGTTCGAGCTAAACCCTGCAGGGACACCGGCCCTCCAGGATCAACGTTCCCCACCCCTGCTGTGGGTCAGAATAGGTAGAGATGTTCAACATCGGCAGCTCTTAAAGGGACAGCAGACAAAATACCTAATAACCAGCTGCTGTGATATCTGTTAAAGGGTTAGTTCACCCAAAAAGGAAAATTAGCCCACAAATTACTCACCCTCAAGTCGTCCTAGGTGTATATGACTGTCCTGCAGAGTTTAGCTCCAACCCTGAAAAAAAAATACCTACCTGTATCCTGAAGACCTTGATTAGTTTGTTCAGGTGTGTTTAATTAGGGTTCGAGCTAAACCCTGCAGGGACACCGGCCCTCCAGGATCAACGTTCCCCACCCCTGCTTTACACAATACTATGGAAGCTCGTTTCGACCACAGGAAACAAATTAAAAACAATAAAAATTAATAATTGTGAATTTTTATCTCACAATTCTAAAAAAAAATGTCTAAAAATTAATATCTTGTTCTTATTCATGATGATTCATGTAGGGTTTCTGCAGTTTGTAGTCTTAAAAAAGTCCTAATTTGCACTTCCTTCAGCCCCCTCAAAAAACAATTGAATTAAACAAGATCAAGTATCTGTCAACGGGGTATAAAAACTAGTTTTCCCCTTGAATTAAGTACACTCTTAAAAATAAAGGTGCTTCACGATGCCATAGAAGAACCTTTTTGTCTAAATGGTTCCATAAAGAATCTTTAACATCTGAAGAACCTTTCTGTTTCACAAAAGCTTCTTTGTGGCGAAAGAAGGTTCTTCAGATTATAAAAAGGTAAGAAAGAGATGGTTCTTTAAAGAACCTTTGACTGAATGCTTCTTTGTGGAACCAAAAATGGTTCTTCTATGGCATCGCTTGAAGAACCTTTTGAAGCACCTTTATTTTTAAGAGTGTGTATATATTTTTTAACATATCCTGCAGATGTTGAACGAGTTAGTAAATGTATCCATGCTCACATCCAGTGTCAGATGAATCTGAATGAATCTTCTTGTCTCTCTCAGGATGATTGGGAGCACAGCAGCAATGGCAGCACCGGTTCTAGACCCAGTTCAGGTTCTCGACCCGGTTCTGGTTCTAGATCAGGCAGCAGAGGACAAAACAACCAGTTCAGAGCCCCAGCGAAGGTGAGATATAATATTTATACATTGATGTCATCAGGAACTTTTTTTTTTATGTTTTTAAACTTTCATGATGTGTGTGTTTTAGAATGGAAACAGAGACTGTTCTTTCGATGTCTTGGGGACGGACATTTGGGCTGCAAACCTGGACTGTCATGGGTGAGATTCACACACACACACACACACACTAGAGGCTAGTTGTTCTTTTATTAGATTTGAGCCGTGTGTAAAAATATTACTGCAATTCAAAATAACTGTTTTCTATGTGAATATATTGTAAAATGTAATTTATTCCTGTGATCAAAGCTGAATATTAGGCTGCATTGATTTGATCACAAATACAGTAAAAACTGAAATATTGTGAACTATATTACCATTTAAAAGAACTGTTTTCTATGTGAATATATTGTAAAATGTAATTTATTCCTGTGATCAAAGCTGAATATTAGGCTGCATTGATTTGATCACAAATACAGTAAAAACTGAAATATTGTGAACTATATTACCATTTAAAAGAACTGTTTTCTATGTGAATATACTGTAAAAAAATTAATTTATTGCTGTGATCAAAGCTGGATTTTCAGCATCATTCCTCCAGTCTTCAGTGTCACATGATCTTCAGAAATCATTCTAATATGCTGATTTGCTGCTCAAGAAACATTTCTGATTATTATCAATGTTGAAAAGAGTTGTGCGAACTTTTTTTTTTATGTTTTTAAACTTTCATGATGTGTGTGTTTTAGAATGGAAACAGAGACTGTTCTTTCGATGTCTTGGGGACGGACATTTGGGCTGCAAACCTGGACTGTCATGGGTGAGATTCACACACACACACACACACACTAGAGGCTAGTTGTTCTTTTATTAGATTTGAGCCGTGTGTAAAAATATTACTGCAATTCAAAATAACTGTTTTCTATGTGAATATATTGTAAAATGTAATTTATTCCTGTGATCAAAGCTGAATATTAGGCTGCATTGATTTGATCACAAATACAGTAAAAACTGAAATATTGTGAACTATATTACCATTTAAAAGAACTGTTTTCTATGTGAATATACTGTAAAAAAAATTATTTATTGCTGTGATCAAAGCTGGATTTTCAGCATCATTACTCCAGTCTTCAGTGTCACATGATCTTCAGAAATCATTCTAATATGCTGATTTGCTGCTCAAGAAACATTTCTGATTATTATCAATGTTGAAAAGAGTTGTGCTGCTTCATATTTTTGCGGAAACAGTGATACGTTTTTTTTTATTGCAGGATTCTCTGATGAATAGAAAGTTCAAAAGAACAGCATTCATTTGAAATATAAATCGTTTGCATTGCATATAAATGTCTTTGCCGTCACTGTTGAGCAATTTAATGCATCCTTGACAAATAAAAGTATTAATTTCTTTAGGAAAAAAAAAAAATACAGACCCCAAACTTTTGAACATCAGTGTACATTACAGATTTCGTAAGCTGTTTTTTGTAAATTGTTCAGTTTAGTGTGCAGGTTGCAAATGCTTTAATTCAGAGTTATGCCCTATAATCCGTTCAGAGCTCCATATCGCCTTTCAGAATAAGCTCTGACGTTGTATTGATTTATTCAGTGGATTTTAGGAAGAAAAAGAAAAAGTGCATGTTTTAGCAGATTAGCAGTTTTACAGTCCTAAATGGATCAGGGAGAAATGGAAGCTTTAAATGAGCTTGTCACGATGCATGTAAAAAAAAAAAAAAGGCTTAATTTTCTTTATTTTGGGGGTAAAATGTGACTTTAGGTCTTTAGTTGAAGTGTAAATGTACTGTAGTTAATGATTCCTATTGTCTGTGTGTTAATGCTGTGATTTGTGTGTGTTTGTGCTCACAGAGGCGCTACGTGGGACATTCAGCCAGAGAAACTGGATTTCTCTCAGTTTCACAGGAGGCCGTACAGAGGGACACCGAAACACCTCCCGCACATCGACCGAGAAGGGTGAGGCAGACGATAGCGTCAGATCAGACACACACAGATACAGTCTGAGTCACTTCACAGCAATGCACTGAATGCATTTATGCAAGTGTATTTATATGAATGTAAATCTGCATGTCAGGGAGTTTTCAGCATTCAGTTGTTGTTGTTGTGAGGTGAGCTGTGATGGGGTGTGGCGCTGTGCTCCCTGCTGCCCTCTACTGGGTGAATGAGAAATTACATTGAGAGAATTGAACTGTAAATCCTGCTGTATCATATTTGATACATATTTCTATGGCCTCTAAATGAACAACATCATCAAAACATTGCTGAAAAACAGCAAATCACCTTCAGCTCGTGCGTCACGTGTCTTTCAGCTGTCAAATTTTTACTGATTTTTATAAAGTAAATGAAAAAATAACTTTCATATGAAGTAATAATCAAGATGAACACTTATGGACTGATACATCATTTTTAGAAAAATTGTTCAAATATGATCATCAGCTTTTTGAGGAATGTTTATTTGTTCATCTCTCAATCTCAATGATTGGATTGCATTGCATTATATGATTTGATCATCAAACTAAGCATTTAAATCTAATTTTACTTGGACATATTATTGGAGATATAGAGTGAAGACTGACATTTATATCATTTTAAGGATCTGATGTATTATTATAAAGATCTCATTGATTTACATTACACGTGTATCAGAATTTCATCACGTTTTGTTCATATAATTGTCATCATCTGCACCAAATTGCCTATTTGTGCTCAGTTTGAGAATAAAACTGATCATTTTTTTTCCTCCATATTCTCACTATATCATAATATATGAGCCATAAAAGTTTGATGTATGTAATATGCAACAACAACAAAAAACCACAAATGCAAACTATAAAATATATATTTTGTCTAAAGGTAAAAAAAAATCGTTTTTTTTTTAGACTGTTATTTCACATGTCAGGCTTTACAGAATTAAATTTTAGGGCTTGGTTTATTTATTTAGTTAGGATGGAAACTTAAAGGGGTCATATGATGCTTTTTTAAAGATCATTATTTGGTGTATT